GGAGAATAAAAGGAAAACAGGAGAAGAAATCGCGAGGGCCTTGTTCTCACCCAGCAAACTCTTGTTTGTTTTGTTCTTTGTTCGTTGTTACTGGAGAATAAAAGGAAAACAGGAGAAGAAATCACGAAGGCCTTGTTCTCACCCAGCAAACTCTTGTTTATCTGTTCGTTGTTATTTTATGTCCATTTCAAGCCTAGTTGTGGCTGGGCTGGGCTCTGTGTTCTTCAACATCAGAGAGCCCTCCATTTGCACCTTTCAAGGTTGTTACGAGCTCAGATCTTGTTAGGCCATTGCCTTTCACAAGGGAATCTTTCCACTTCAGGCCTTGGCCTGCAAAACTGAGAGACAAAAGCAGTTGAATCATAGAGGGAAACTGAGACAGGCATATTGAGTTATGGAGAGTCCTGCTACACAGCCCTTTCTCAGTGACTGGCTCAAGTTTTCAAGGGCCACAGTCCTTGGATTTACCGGTGGTTCTTCTATGTACCTGAGAAGCAGACAAGACTACAACCTTCTATGCCATTTGTAGCATTTGGCAGCCTGAAGTGGGTTTTCTACAAATGCACCCTGTCTGGTTTTGCACAGAAGATCCAATCCGGAAGATTGCTCAAGAAAGGCACCTCCTCCTCCCACACAACACTGTCTCTATCTGGGGTCCCTTTCACCTTCCTCTGAGTCTCAATAGCAGCAGGGTGTGACAAGCAAACATGCTGCTTCTGGCAGTGCTTGTGGCCACAGCTACTTGGTCTTGTAAGTCCTTCTTTATTTTCTTACCTTTCCTCACAGGCACTCATGGCTGTGCTAACAGGCATCTTCCCAAATCCCTGGATTCCAGCTAATAACAGCATTTCTCCTTTTTTTATTTTTTCCCCTAGATGGACTTGCACAAGATATTCCTGTGCAGACCCCTATATCCATCACCAAGTCAAAAAGAAGTGCACGGATGAACTGTGAAATTAAAGGATTAGGGACAAATTTTGATGGCACCGTCATACACTGGTATCAACAGAAGGAGGGTAAAGCTCCAGAGAGATTACTGTTCTTTGTAGCAGGGAAACCTTCAGTTGAAAGTGGCTTTCAAACCGACAGGTATATGGTTGAAAAAGTTTCTGGCCAGAACCGGTGTGTTTTTACAATAAAAGATGTAATTCCAGATGATGCTGCTACCTACTACTGTGCCTACTGGGATCCTCACTGTGATAGAAACTCAAAGATCACCAAGGCAAAAATCTCCCTTAACATCTGCATCACAAAGTTGTAACTTGTGCCACTCCCCCCTGCCTTTTCATTCCATCTGATATGAGCTGCCAAAAGGTCAAACCTTTTCCTGTTACCCAAAGAGAGCAGCTAACTCTGCACAGCTGTCCTTTTCAAAGTCTGGGTCATCATCAGCACTCTGATCTTCAAACACACTAGTATTTTAAGGGCAAAGGAAGACTTCACAAGAATTATCACATCGATACTGGAAACTCACCTGCTCCTTTGGTGCTTCTTACACAGCCATGGCAGAAACCTGGTGGTCCTTGAGGGGAGCAAACATTGCATTGTTTTTTCTAGTCCAACTATTCTTCTCCCTTCTAGGAAAGAAAAGGCAGTAAAAGAAAGACAACATGCTGAAGGAAGTACCTAGTTGGTGGGAACAATATGCTTGTCACCATGTAAACAACGGTAAGTTCCTAGAAATATTGATAAGGTACTGCAAAATCCCACATAGACCAATTTAAATCAGAGATTTACAGTCTCTTATCTACCACAGCTGATGATGTGGTACTTATAAACATCCTCTTCCTTAATTTCATTTTGCAGTGAGTAAGTATAAGGCCCTGGGCACAGCAAGCATTTCAAAGAGCTTGAGAGGAGTTTCTCATGTGCCTTTAGCCTAGTATGTGCCTACTCATCAGCTTTTCTTCTCTTGATGAAGGGTGAAATTCAGTGCCTGAAATGCTGTACCATCACATAGAATGAGCTATGGGATGTTAAAAGGAAAATCAGAAAACCACTAAGCACAAGCAGCCTCAGGTCACAAAAGTCTTAAACACAAAGTGAAGTTTAAGGAAGCAAGTGCCCATGGATTTCAATGAACCCTGTTGGTTCTGTGCTAGCCAGTGGTGTGGCACACATCCAGAAGTTGGCACTGTCACATGCTGTCTTTATTCATAGGATCTCATGGCAGTTTTCCAAAGAGCTGAAATATTACTAAGGTATCTACCTTGTTTTCACCCTTATTTTTTTGTTGTTTTCTGCCTTCTGCGTACAGTGACTTGCAGCATCCGTCACTACTGCACTTGCACTTAGACAACTTCAGCCCAACAAAGAAAACTAAAATAGACCTTTGGGCTGAAGGTTTGTAAAATTTTAAGCAAAGGAAAAGTTTTATTTTCACTTAAAAATTAGCAGGTGTCAGAGAAAGAATATTTTCTATTAATTCCTCCTGAAATCTGGAGGTGGGCATTTCTGTTCTTGTTTGTTTAAGCTGTATCAGTCCGTTCCCCATCTTCTTGCTTATCACTGTCTTTGTTTCACTGGTGTTCATCATAGTAGTGAAGCATCAGAATCACCCAGAAAGTTGGACACGGAGTTATTGAAGCTACTACCAGAGAAAAGAGCTTTTGATATTAAAAACAATCTCTCATACTTATGTCTCATATTCACTGCTTCCCTCCTAGCTACTGCCTTAAAAAGCGCATGCCGATCCTCACTGCCTGAGGAATTAATCCACAGAGGTTTTTCTCTACCATCAAAGCCTCTCCTTAATATTTTCCTTTAGTGTGCCACCCTGATAGTCCCCTCCCTTGGTTCACTGAAGTGAACTCATTAAAGAATATTAGTCTGATGACATAACAGTTTAAAATATGCATTAGGTCTCCAAATGGTTATAGGTCTGTTTTGTCCTCCTCATATCTGCAAGCCCAGTTTGCCCAGGCAAATTAGACAAGCTGTGTGCAATATGCAGTGTTTCACTTTTTTTCTTTTAATGAGATCTCCCAGTTACTCACTTTTGTGACCATAATCTAACAATCCCAGCAACTGCAGGTGAGGTGGTGCTGGCTTCTTCCCTGTGTGTTGGACATGACAGGAAAAGCACCAGTGGGCACCATCCTCTGTCTACATCACTCCTGCCATCATTTCGTGGTTGCAATTATGTTTCTGCCCAGGAGCCTTCAGAGGAGACAACTGCTTTTCTTACACCTACTTAAAGTGAAAGACCTTAACTCTCAGTCTAGTTCCTCCCTCCAGCCACAAAAGTCTATTTCTTAATATTGTTCCACTGTCACACAGGATCCCAGAACTCAGACTGTTTCTTTTAAATGGCAAACTATGCACGGAGGCTGTTTGATCCACAGTGACTCCTCTGATGTTATCTTGGGCTGTTTTGTAAGAAACCCATGAGCAAAGGAACAGCCTCCTTCTCCCACCAGCTGGTATATGAAAAGCTGCCAGTGAGCTATTACTGCAGAGCCTGGAGTGATTCCCGGAGACGAGCAGATACCATACACAGGAGGGCAGAAAACACAAGCTGCAGCACATGGACACCTTTGCAATGCTTCTGGTGCTGGTTCTGCCTCTTTTTCCTCTGCTGAATTGGATTAAGACAACTAAAAATGTACTCCATACAAGTAGTACTTGATGTCACTTAACTACAGGTAAGAGGGGGTGTACTCTTTTGGAAGGAGCAGGATCGTGACCTGCAGGTGTATGGTTTTTAACATGCACAACTCTGTGCACCTATCTGTATGTCTAAAATTAAAGAGGAACCTTCACCTAATTCTTAGGCACTAAGCAGAGGGGTTAGCTTAAAAAATTGCCATGTTTTAGGAAAGAGATTTGCTCCAAAGAGCATTATATGTCAGCTGAACAACAAGGTGCAAGTCTGAAATTCCTGACATCCTCCCGGAAGCAGAGGGCCAGGCCTTCAGCCTCAGCCTCCTGGGGCTCACTGGGGGAAAAAATGGGTTTTCTTCAGCAATGCCACAGCAAGAGAGCACATTGGAATATTGCAAAGCCATGTTGCACAGTGTGAAGCATCTGGATCAAATACTTCGGCACAGGAACCAAGCTAATAATCTCTAGTAAGTACCATTATTATTGATCTGATTTCCAGAGTCATTCAGGTTCTCTGATAATTAAGAATGAGAGACAATAGGAAAATTGTGTGCTGCCCCAGTTGGGTCGGTTAATGGGTGATAAATGCATTGACCTTGTGAAGAGGGTGATCGCCTCTAGAACAATTCCTAAATACTTACTTCAAACAGGGGAATGGGAAAATGAGGAGAGGTAAAAAAAATAAATACTGGGATGGATTAAGTCCTGTTCTGAGAAAGAAAAGCGAACTGCTTGAAAGCTTATACTCAGACAGTGAGTGAGAAATGCAAAATGTTTCTTATTGATAGAAGTGGTTTTGTCTAAGTTGTTTAAGAAGGAAAATTGTCTGGAATGTAATCAATTTCTAGCTCCTGGCCCTGTGGAAAAGAACTGGATTACTTTTGCATTTCTATTATTCTTAATTGAAGCTATGCAATCAATAAGATGAATGCTGTTTTCAGTATAAAGCATAAAGCAATGTCTACAGCATGTTGCTCAGAAAATGCATGATATTACCAAGGTGACTATAATTAAAAGCAGAGGCAAGTTCCAGAGAAATTAAAACGTGTCATCCATGCCACTGACCAGAAATGTTCACTGCTGCAATTTGCTTTTAAACTGTGCCTGTTTGGAGGCAGCTGCTTTTGCCAAAAAGACAACAGCGTAACCACTTACCAAAGGCATTAACTCAGTTATGGGTGTCAGTAAATTTTGTTTACAATAAGGATTTTGCATTTAAAATATGGGCTTCAAAGTAAGAGTTTGATGAAACTTTAATTTTAATACTTTCACACAATAAGTAATTTGCAAGACAGAACATTCAGGGGAAATAAATAACTTACCTGTATATTTAAATTAACAAATAACTAGTAAACTTTCTTACTTTCCTTTGGGAATCATCACGTAACCACATTTCTTTTTAGAACAGCCAAAAGAGGTTACTTCAGATAAAATTTAGCAGACCAGAGGCAACAGATCTTTGCTCAAGAAATCCCAGAGCTGAAGGATTAGAATGCAGTTATAGTATTTCTAAAAATAGGCCTTCAGTCAATGTTTAAAATTCAGCTAAAGTTAAAAAAAGTTAGTTCAGCCTGAACCAGGTTTATCACCAACGTCTACATCAGAGGCACTTTTTCTGTTGCCTGTGCAAGAAAGGTACAGTTTAGGAGATATTGCTAAGCATTGTCAGACTGTGGGATGACGATGTCAAAATATTTGGAAGTGGAACTAAGCTTATTGTTTCAAGTAAGTACAAAATATAAAACTTAACTACTTCTGAAATGCTTTTAATTGCAGTTAGATACTGTCTACATTAAGTGCTCTGCTATTTAAGCTCCTGCTAATTTTAACCTGGTTGAATGTTTCACAGGATTTTCCTCTTAAGCAGCACTTCCATATGGAGAAAGCAACAAAATTACGCTGTTTATGTATGAAATGGGCAACATACAACATCTATTGCAGCACAGATGCAAGATATTTTTGTCTTCAAACATGCATATTCAACATTTGTGCTATTCCTAATTAATTGTAAAACAAAAGTGTCAAACCTTCGGGTTACTCAGGTACTTTGAAAAGCAAAACCTTTTCCTTTAGGGCTATGTCTGAGTATATCAAATGAAAGGAGTTATCAGAGGCACATCCAGAACTCTCTGAAAATGCACATAGTAGAAAGGCTACTCTCTCTTCAACTTATTATCAATTATTGCTATTATTAAATAAGAATGCCAAACTGAAAATGTTTTTACATACTTATTAAAATTATTTTGCTTCAAGTATACTTCAGGTGTTTTGATACTTGCCTGTGATTTGGCTCAACTAAACATCTGAAATGGATACAGCTTGCCTAATTTGGACCATCTGAAAACTGTGTATCTGGTTAGTGGAAGGTACAACTCAAACCCACACCCAGTCTTGCTCCATCTTACTGACAACAAAAATATTGCTTGGGGGTCTTGTGCTCATCAGATGTCAGCATAATGTTCACCAAATATAGGTCAGATTTGGTACAGTATATAAGGAGCAAATTACTTGGACAATATCTGATCACATAGATCTTCTGTTGGTGCTGCCTCTGTCCAGAATCAGATATAGAGCCAAGGTGCTTCAGTTAACAACATGTATGCCCAGTTAAAAACATGCATGCCCTCAAAAACATCCATATCTTTTTTTTTCCTCCCTCCCTCTCACCTCCCACTTTTAGCACCTGCACATTTTTTACTTGTCTAGGCTCTAAAACTGATTATACAGCAAATCTGATTTCCTTTAAAGAATACTGTTTACCCATATAAACATAACAGAGCTGCACTGTTTTTGCAAAGACTTTATTCACTGTGATACGTATCACAAGGTGTTTGGCTCCAGTACAAGACTCATTGTATCAGGTAAGTTGCATGTTATTTTCCATACAATAAGCTATAGGAGCTTGGGTTCATCATATAGGTAAGTGTCACAGAAGGCAGGCACTCAGCCCATTTAGAGCCTCAGTCAGTACCATCCTTGTGCAGGATTCCCTTCCCCAGCTTGTCATTCCTGCATTGACCCTCGTATTTGTAATGTTTCAGATCGCAAACATTTCTGAGAAGAAGCTATTTTGAGCCACTTTTGATCACATTCCTCCTTGGAAATGTGGTGGAAATTGGCCTCTAGTAGTTCCCAGAGCCCTCACGCTTTCCTTCATCTGTACTGAAGGAGTAAGCACAGAATCAAGCAGCTGGGAATTAAGCATTAAGAAAACCTTTTCCCAATACAGATAACAGACCAATATGCAACAGCGATTTCTAAAATCCTTTTTTAATTAGGCTAGTGAAAGTGAAATAACTTGTCTCTTATTATTTTTGTCATGTACACAGCACTCTGGCTGTAGAAACAAACTAGTACCTCCAAATGCTCTTCCTTTTGCTTAAGAATACACATAATGAAGAAGCAATCCAGTTTTTGCCTTTCCTGCAGAGTAATTAGTTTTAATAGAAAGTGGAGGACAAGAATTCTGTTTTTCCCATTAGATATGCTCTAAGTGACATAAACCTGAAGTAAATAACTACACAACACAAGGCAGAGGTACTGTTTCTATCAAATATTTTAAGTGTGGCTTAATACAAAAGCTTCCATTAGCACACCAAGCAAAGATTGCATTTAATGATTTATGTCAGAAAGACTAAGTAAAACATAACTAGAATCCAATAGAAGTATGTGTGTCAGCATGAGCATGTTGTTTTTAGTGACAATCCTTACCTTGTTACTCAGGTAGTTGCCATGCTTTTCACACCTGCAGTTTAAAATAAATTATTTTAAATAATTTTTAAGTCATTTTACTTCTGTAGCATTTTGTCTTTATGTGGGCCAAGGCTTATGACCAATTAATAGAATAAAAGGGCTCTATTTACCTCTTGCTTAAGATCAGGCATTTCATCATAGCTTGTCTTTTCAGAGGTGACTATCCACCATTAGCTCAGTAAATTACTCCTAATGAAAAGAAATTGAGAAAATTAGACTTTGGAATAAGTGGCAGGAATTCCATTGAATCATCAGGATTTGAGTTTGAGCAGAATCTTTTCCCAGATCTGTACTGAAAGAGTCACATATATAAAGAGCCAAACTCCTGTCAACTTGTAATGAATTTGCTTTTGTTCTTGTCATTCTCTTTTAATTAGTCTTGATCAAAAGTGACTCAAGACTTACAATAATGTAGGTAACAGAAGGGCTGGATTTTGAGAGACTGGCTTAGCATTTGCATTTGGTGGAATAGATGACTTTTTAGAAGCCTACAGCAGAATGGGACTTAATCCAACATAAGCTGGCAATACAGGATTCTTCTGTAGCTATCTTTCCAGGAAATTTAGGTACTCATAAGGTTGCAACAGGGAAGCTGAGACTGAAACAGCCCCTCCAAATCCATGTTTTTTCCCTTCCACACAGAAGCAGAGTGACTTGTTCAGCCAGCATGAGGCTGGTTTCCCTCTGCTATCTCTTCTGCTACAGCTTGGGTCTCCCTGGCAACTCACAAGCATATTGCTAACTTGTTTTGAAGTGATTAAAATATTAACATTTCTAGGAAAATGTTCTAGTTAAATTTCCTAGCAGAAATTATGGAATTGATTAATTTAAATGTTATCTCCTAAATATTACTAAAGTATCTACCTTGTTTTCACCAAATGCATGGAATTTCAGTAATTCAAAAAGCTCCAATTACTTTTGGTAATTATTATAAAACATATTTTGCATAAAAACAGATTATTATTACATTTTATTTATACATAGCCTGACATTGGACTAAACTAATTTTCTACCCTTTTAAATCAAAATGGTGAAGGTTACTGTATGCACTAGTTTGCATTATGATTTCTTTTAACAGGGAAAAACATAAAGCCCTGAACTAAAACCCATTATACTTGAAAATCTAAACAAGTGTTAGGCAGAAGGATGGAGCTAGAAGACAGAAATGAGGGAAGATGTGACTACTCAAAATCTGTGGAGTGAAAGCCTCTTACCATGAGTAATATTAATAGGCATAATTGCTAATTGCTTTAATAAAAACATCAAGGATACTACGAATCTGTATCTGATTCTTTTAAGGCAGCGTTCACGAGCAGGTTTCAGTGTGGACATTCCCCTGTTCCATAATGGTCTCTGTTATTGGAAGTGGTGATGGCACCAAGCCTGTCAGAGCTCACAGAGCATCTGGATAACTCTTAGTCATAGGGTTTAATTATAGGTAGTCCTGGTAGCCGCAGGGTGTTGGAATAGGTGATCCTTTTAAGAGTCCCTTCCAACTTGAGATACTCTGTGATTCTATGACCCTAAATCCACTGCCCAAAAAGATCAGCTTGAATTGGTGCATTTCTATGAAGAAAATGGGGTTATGCTAAAACACAGAAGAAGGTTTTTAAAACATTGAGAATAGGAGGATTTTGCAAAGCACTTGTACACAGTGACTAGAAGAAAAAGTCTTTGGAACAGGCACAAAGCTTATTGTTTCTGGTAAGTTTTTTAATATTTAAGAAAATATTACTTTTTCTGGCAATGCAAAATTGAGGGAATGTGATATATTAGTTGTAAAGTTTATAATACAGATTAAAATAGAGACTTAAAAGTATAATGTAGAAAAATTATGTGGAATTCATAGTAGCAGAACTCATTACTTTAGAACCCAAATGCTGGTATAAGAGAGGTCAGGGTAAAATACAGGACTTCAAATAAATTGCTGAAGTATAACTTCTTCTGGATACCTGGGGCTACACCAGGTCACTCCCTTGTGCAAGGCTTACTATCCAGAGCAGCAGTTACTGTAAGGGAATTTTATCAGTCTGGAGGTTGACGAGATATTTGGTTCTGATATGAAACTTAAAATCTCCGTTAAGTGCTTTCAAATATTTTATATTTTATTTTATTTTAAATATGTATTTTGTAATTGGGAGGCTATGGAGTGCAGATTTACAGCAACTTAATGTATTTGGGGAGGCTCACTGTGGGGCTGGACTATACTATATGTTATTATCAATGATAATACCTGAAGTTGCTGGCAAGCAGGACAAGAATGCTGTTTATTTGTGCTGAGAGCTTGTAGCTCCCACCGCCTTGAAGGGGAACTCACAAGCTTTTACTACCAGACAAAATTACTACATTTTGTGGCATCATTCTAGTAATGAGAATTAAAATTTGAACTTAAGAATGCATTGACCTTATTTATAAAATCTTATTTATAGATAATTATAAAGAAACGGTAGGGAGGTTTCATGAAACACTTTTGCCAGTTAATCTATACAAATGTGTATTTTGAACCCAAATTCATTAATAGCTCATTATGAGCTTAACTCTAGAATTTTATTTGCTCAATGTTTTGCAGGCTTGCTGCTTTATTAAGAGAGATAAAAGACAGATTTTAGCTGAAGAAATATCAGTACATGCTTAAATATTATTTTTTAAAGACCTACATAGCTCTTAAAACCTGCCTTAGAAAACTGTTTAACAAAGTAAACAGCAATTTTTTTCTAAACTTTAACTAAAAGACAATGGAGTGAAAGTTCATTACTTAAAAATTCTTCAAAAAGGATCAGATCATTTGCTCAGAAGAGCCAGTGTAAACTATCTCGTTGACTTCATTGACTTAGATATCAGTCAGAAGATACATCAAAAATCTACAGCAGATTCTATAAGTTTTCATTCTTTTTTTCCATAAACATGCCTACAGTTATGGAGATACTTTTTCCCCCCCACGTGCAAACATATATTTACATGTGCAAAATTTAATTTGTTTAGTTCTCCACTGTCATGCATTTACCTGTGCGTGTACATCAGGGTCTCTCATGCATCTGCACAGTTGCAATATGTTTCCTCAGGATTGTGATACAATTCAGATGTTTCATTAAGGGTCTTCATTAAGATGTTTCATCTAGGGTCTTTTTATGGCAAATGGAAAGACATTGGGAATTCTAAAAGTGGAAATTATTCAGTCTTAATAGAAGCCTTTAAAAATGAGCAGGATGAACTAGCAGCTAAAAGCATCTCTCTCTGCTTCTCTATTTAGATTTGATAATCCAAAAGAATAACATCAAACTAGACAATTAAATTTTAGCCTATTGAAATCAGTCAGGGAAAATCTGCAAATCTAAAATAAATATCTAAAATAGTCATGAGGCTTTGCAGAGTGCAGTGTCACTGGGAGAGGAGCTCGTGGTCTTCTGAACACATACAACTCTGGAACAAATAAATAATTTTAGAAATCAGTCTAATCTTGCATCCCTGGGAGGACTGATGCATAAAGAAGATAAAATAACCCCTGCATTAATGTTAGAGAGTAATCAAATTCTTAGCAATTTTATTTCTGATACGACAGAACTCTGTCCACTTAGCACTTCAATGACACCTCTCCAAAATTAAGGGTATTCATAATATAAGGGTTATCTTTTTGAAGGTAGACTGCTTTATGCTTTGATCGTCTTTGCTTTTAAACACCAAGTATTAAATATTCCAAAGAATCACTAAGTTGTGGTACAGGGATTCAATGCAGAAGTTTGATCTAGAATAGCCAGATCATTTAAAGAAAGATGGAAGCTTTTTGACAAAAATACATGCTTATATCAACATGTTTTCTCACTAGGCATCAAAACTGCACCACTCAGCCAGACCACACTTCAAACCCTAGCTGCTCAAACTCAGTGGCAGACTTTTACATAGGAATTTAAAGAGAAAGAGTGGTGTAAGGAGATGAACACCTAAAATCTCTCTGCTGCCTTAAAAACCCGTCTTATTCGGTACCTTCTATACCACAAATGTAAATTTTGAAACTTGTATCTCAGGTATCTTGCAGCTAAGCATAGAGAAAAATGATTGCCCATGAGCCTTGCCTATGCGTGCAGTGCAGAAGTTCTTGTTTAACTGAAACAGACTCTTGAAGTTACTACTCAATTTTTTAATATCAGAATGTCTTCTCTGTGTGGAATAAGTCTGGATGATTTAGATTCCTCCTAATTACATAAGGTTTAATATAGAGTGGGAAATTAAATTGAGATTACCTACTTTTAGCTTGTGGAAACAGCTGCTTTTAATTTCAAATATATTCACATATGCAAAGATTTGAAGGGTAGGTGGTGAACCTTTAACATTCTGTAGACAAAATTTTCATGCAGCTGTTTTTGCATAAACATTATAAAGCAATATTAAATTCCTCTTATCAAATAAATGGCACAGTATCAAAGCTTAGATCAAACATTTTTCAGGTATCAAGACTCTACTGTCTAAACAAAAATTAGTTTAGAATACTTAAACTGAATTTTGTCTTCTGATTTTGAGCTTGATTTTCTGTACCATATTCATGAAAGCTTCTATTAATTTTGGTTCTCTATAAAATAAGATTAAGTCATATTTTCTACTCCCAGTTATCCTAAATAGTATTGTAAGTATTTTTGACTGAAAATTAAAACTTGCCATTTGAGTCTATTGAAATAATATTTAATATAAAGTGCATATGAATACCAGGTTTGTCCAGCTCAGCCAAAAAATTGTTTTTACTTCAAGGATGGAAACAGCTGTAATTCATCCATCCTCTTACCTAAAATTCCTTTCATACATGAGACATTTCTATTTCCATCCTAAGTATTTCATAACAAATGAGAGAACTAAAACACTTGTTAACAAGACATTTAGGTTGTTCCTCTTCATAATTTGTATTTTGTGACTGCATATTTATTAGCTGTATATTGTTGATCTTCCAACTCTCTATTTTGTTCATTTTATTTCCTTCAATAACCAATCCAGACAAAGGAAGCTCTGAACCAGCACACACTGAAATCCTGCAGAAGGAGCATCAAAATCAGTTAATATACCTTTGCCTTATTGAGAAATTCTACCCAGAAGTTATTCGGGTGACATGGACCGATGGAGAAAAGGAGATAACAGACAATGTAGTGAAAGGAGGCGTTTGGAACTCTACAAAAGATGGTGAATTCTCAATTGGTAGCTGGTTAACTGTACCAGCAGAAAACAAAGACAAGAAATACTACTGCAAATACGAGCATGAAAGCAAAGAGGCATCACTACCAACTCAAGGTATATACTACATTTTTAAAACTCTACGCATTATTCTAGATATCACTTTTTCTTTGCAATAAAATTACAGTAACTATGCTTTCTATTTCTGTACCTAAAATCATCTGCTCCTTGGCACAACAATAGTTAAATACACATGCAGAGAAACTATCAAACTTTCTCCTGGAAAAATAACCAAGCCTGTGCTATGGTCCCCAAGTGAATATCCCTTTGTAACAGAAAAACAGCAGCTCTTGGACCTCTGGGGTAAACTAGAAAAGATCCAAAAGGCCTGCACTGAGCCCTCTAGATTACTTTCTAGTCTACAGAGGTTTCTGAGAACACTATTACCTCTGTTACCCATGACTTTCAGGTGTAAGTCCCTCTGACACCCCCTGACAATAGTCACAGCTATTAAAAAAAACCCATTAGTTAAAAACCAGGTTGTTGGGGATGCATAGCAAAGTTTAAACATCTTACTCATAAGCACAGCAATAGTGAGGTAGTAGCCATGTATGAAAAGAAGCTCTCATTTAATTGTAGGATAGATTATGCAAAGCAAAATCTGAAAGACAATGCAATTTTAAATGAAAAAAGTAACCTGTAATCAGTGCAAATTGCTTAAACCATAGTAATATCTTTAGGAAAATCTGCCTATATTGGTTGATATTATTTTATATTTTATAGTATTTTCACAGTACCTGCTTCTGTTAAATTTATTATCTATTAATGTTACTCCAGTGAGTGAGAGCATGGCCTTAAGTAACAATTATATTTCAAGCTTCAAAACACATTCTGACAAAAATACACTTTAGATGGAGGATTAGGGTTTTAGGATTATGTATTTAGAGCTGTAGAACAGACATCTTTAAGCCCATGTATCAATGTATACAAACACCATGATCGTGAACAAACACAAATTTGCTGTGTCAAGCACAAAAAGGGTTTCTTTTAGAGAACAAACCACCAAAATAGCAAATTCCCAACAGAGAAAACGTAGATCATCATCACCTCAGGATTAGTGTTGAGCAACCATTTATTAATAGACTAATTTAGGTCCCTCCCGATGTTAATTATTCTGTAAGTTGTGAGGGCAGACTCCAGCTACTTTAGGGATGAGATCAAGTGGTGAAATTGACTTCAGTTCCAAATAAATGAGACTCTGCCAAGGAACAGCCTGATGGATACATTGCTGAAACCTCCCATTTAGAGCAATAAACACTCAGATACAGATCTTTCTTTCTGTTGCTTAATAGTAACTTCCTGTTTTGCTGTTCCTATGCTGCTCCTTTCCCCCTCTGTTTCTCAATTCATGTTTTTTTTCAGAAAAATCTAATTGGAGCATTTAAACTCTCTTTCCATTAGATGATAGAAAGACAACTTCTCAGGAAGAGAACTGCAGCAACAGCACATATCCTGGTTTTATTAGAGGTAACTAAAACATATTCAAATGTGGGAAAGTGACGCATGTCACACATGAGCTAGCATTTTTACATAAGGACATAATGAAAATTATCTCCATAAATAGCATACACCATATCTGGGGTCTGCAACTTCAAAACACTTCAGTACTACTATGAACTAACTGCTATTGAGGATTATAAGAAGGGGCTATACTGCCTTTATTAGGTTGCTTTATTAGGAGCTTTATTAGGATGGTGCTGTTTGGACTACTAGATTATTAGCCTGCATGAGGTTCCATCAGCCTAGCAATTGTCCAGTACTTTGGACAGAGAAATTGTGGTTTAGCTTCAATAGGGATTCAGGCAAAATCATGAGCACTTCTTTTCAAAAAATCCAACACAAGGACTCAAGAATACACAGTACTACCAGTAATCAGTGCTGGAAGCACAAGAACTGTTCTTGGGGAATAATAGCCCAGCAGCATTGGGAGGCAGCTGACTGCTAAGAAACCTGCTTGGGCTAGAACTTATTAGCAGTACAAACCTGATGAAAGGACACTCATACTTTGTTTATATACTGCTCACAATAATTAATGTAACCACAGCAGTAAATAGACTACTCAGTCCCAGTTCTACCTGTGTTTTAGAAGGTTGTACAATATTTACACTAAACAAGACTTCTGTTTGTTACAGATAACATATTGCCCAGGACAGCATATTTAGTGTACATCATCCTTCTTCTGAAGAGCTCCATGTACTATCTCATCGTACTCTTCTTCATCTACAGAATGTGGGCTTCAACCAAAAAACAAGGAAACAAAGCATAAATGCTGGTTCAGGAAAGGCTTACAAAACAGTCTTCAATTTGCTTTTCTATATGCTTATCCATATAGACTCCTCTGCTCTCACTGTTAGATGTAACAACAAAACAAAAAAAATCCCCAAATAATTTTCTGGCATTAGTGTACAGGGCTCGTTTTGCTTTACTGCTACTGTTCTTATATCAGCCTGGTTTTCTGAGCATTCAGCTGAGGTTGGCAATAGGAGTAAGGTTACATTGCTTGGATTTTAAACCAAAGTTCATCTTGCAAAATGAGGAAGGTACTCGTGTTAAAAGTAGTTATAGGTGTAATGGGGCTTTTGACATATAAAGTACAGATACATTTTGTTATGGTGCTTAAAGCTTTATTAGGAGCATTCCTGTGCTGTAAATTCACAGGCATTTGTTATTTTTACTTTCAATGATTTATTGCCACCCTCATGTATCCATCAAATCATGATTAAATATTCCAAACCGATGTGTGCTGCAAGAGCCAAACATAATTTTTAAAAGCTAACAATATTTTAAATTAAGAAGTTAGATGAACATAAAGGCAATTCTAAGGCACACACATACAGAACCTAAAGAAATGCACCAGGCCCCACACCAGCACTGTGACAGAAACTGACAACTTGCACATTGTTATTTTATAAGAAAGGAATCAATTGTAATGATCACAAACATCATCTTGTTTAGAGTTACCTTTTTAAGTTGAGCAAAGCCCTAAATCTGAAGATTTGCTAGAGAAAGGTTTTTCACAACAGAGGAAAACTTCTCTGATGTTGGACTTCAACTCTTTATCTCCAAGTTCCACAAATCAGTTCCATTCAAATTTCTGTGGAAAAATCAGAAGTAGATATATCGGGGCAAAGCATTTGCTCAGCTTGGGGCAAAACCCTGCAATAAGTTTGGAGTTAAGTGTCTACAGCATTTACACTCACTGTATTTGTAATGATGTGGAGGGCAATAAAAGCCTTCCTACAGGTGCACTTGTGAGGACTGTGTTTGTCCTCCAACATTTCCACAGCATGTACCAGGATGGCTAGAAAATCTGATTAATTTCTCTGTGCATATAAAAACCTTAGGAAATCAAAGATCACTGAAACCACTGGTTTTCTGGTTTTTAATGTATTCAACAGGAACATTTCTACACAGAACAATAAAAGCATAGCTTGTTACATCTTTTCTGTTGATGGGGCTAAGCCAAACCAAGGCAAAATGCAGCGCAGTTATAACTGAAATGCCTTCTAGGACTCACGTTGTCTCAAGGGAAGGAGAACGAGTCAGGTTTAGTTCTAACAAATATTTTACTAATGGCATATCTTGCAAGTTATTTTGTAATCTGCATACTGTAACCAATGCAAGTAATTCCTGCCTTCAATGTCATGTTACTCTTCAATGCAAAGAAAGACATGTCTAGTCTTTAGTCAAACTCTCTTTGAGAAACAGTTGCTATCTCATGCTATTATTTGTTAAGGCTTGGTTCCAATCAAAGTGAAATAAAATATCTACTAAAGTATTTCTGGAATGCAATTACTGTAGATTTCAGTAGCATCAGCAGTATTACTGTCCCAGTCTCCCCTACCTTTATCCCTGCTAGAGAAACGCTTGATTGCGTTGATGAACCACAATCTCTCTCACTAAAATGATCCCCAAATCCTCTTCTCATGTCTCATACATGAAACTGAAACATGCTGCTCATGGAGTACAGGAAAAGAGAGAAAACACAGCCTTTTAAGCTTTTTGCACAAAAGCCCCTGCCTACATTCAACCCTAAGCCATGCTGAACATAGTTATCACCTCACAGTTTCTGGGGTTTCTCAAATACACGGTTGTAGGTTTTACTTCTCCAACAGCTCACATGTCCCTGAAGTTTATTTATACAGACATACACTGTTCAAACTACGTTTTTAATTTCTATTTATTTTGCCCAAACAAGAGGGCAAGTGGATTTTTAAGGCTTCTTGGTGCTTGGGCATTTGTTGGCAAGAAGTTTAGGTTATTTAGTGGAAAAACCCTGTACACTGAACCAGTCACAACTGGTTCAGAGGAGGTGGGCTGCGATAAGAATGGGTGATAAACTGAGGACAGTTAGACCACAGCCATCCTGTCTTTTACCACAGTATACTTCTAAACCATTTCCTTTTAATGGAAACATAAGCTGATAAAAACTACATGCTTAAGTTACATGTCAATAACACAGTGAAACTCACGGTTTGCTACGCATGTTGGTCTAAATGCAGGCTTGTGATATGTACGTGTAGGGGCTAAGGCTACCACAGAAACATGGGTGCTGCAGGATGTCTGCAGGACTTGCAGTCTTATTAATCATGACTGCACACCAGAGCTAAATGTAAACTAGGCAGTGTAGACCTCTGTTATCAGGACTTCAATGTTTGAAAGACGTGTCTTCTCAAGTACATATTTCAACACAACTGTTTTTCACTGATTACAAGCTCTTACCAGCATGAGGATTACAGCTGCTGCACTCCCATTACAGAGTTGCAGAATAAATGTACTACTATAAAAATGGCAATCTGGTGCTTCCCAGAGTTGCAGAATAAATGTACTACTATAAAACTGGTTACTGGCAATCTGGTGCTTCAAAGGAAAATACAACAGAATGGAGTCAACTTTTGCCATGAAAGCACAAAGAAGGAATCAGTGCAAATTAATTTATTTGTGGAAAAGGACCTGCAATGCACACTTCATCTTGCTAGAATAGTTGTGTGTCCTATAGTATCCAACAATTTTACATGCTTGAGAATATTGCATCCTCAGCTATCAAAATAACCTACAACAGATGATATGGGAAACTACCTGTGGATTCCTCTCACATGTAGTTCAAATGAGAAAGATCTGCAGAAGGATTACAACAGTCTGTCAAAACCTAACTTCTGTTGCTAGTAGGTACCAACACTAATAAACTTTAAGTGAGATTCAAATAGTGAACTATTCAGTTTGAGGTTTGAAAACTGCTGGGGCAGACAGCACCAGGAGACCCTTTGAAAGCACTGAGGAAATTAAAAAATCTCAGAGGAGTAATTTGAGAATTCAATTCTCTGCACTTACAGATAATTACAGCAAAATAGACCAAACAACAACTAGTAATAAATAATTGACAAGTTTTTCCTCATCAAATACTCATTAAATATAGATCTACCATAGACAAGTTTTATTTACCAGTCTCTTGATTAGGTACACAAGACAACACTTTCCAGTAATTACCTAGTCATTGAAGATTAACCTCATGAACTGCTGAATACATCATGGACAAATATCTTCATACCACCTGGAAGGCAACATAATACGAGACGTCAAGAAGATATGTCTCACTGGGATTATTACAGCCCATAGAATCATAGAATCATTTTGTTGTAAAAGCCCAGCCATTAACCTAGCATCTACCAAGTCCCTCACTAAAACATGTCTCTGGGCACCACATCTACACATCTTTTAAATATCTCCAGGGAATGTGACTCCACCACTTACCTGGGAAGACTATTCCAGTGTCTGACAATGCTTTCAGTAAAGAAATATTTCTTGATAGCCAATTTAAATCTCTCCTGGCACAACTTTAGGCCATTTCCTCTTGTTCTATAATTTATTACTTGAGAGAAGACACCAACCCACTGTCCTGGTTTGAGCCAGGATGAAGCAAATTTTCTTTTTTCTTCCCTTCAATGAACCACCTGGGAAGACTATTCCAGTGTCTGACAATGCTTTCAGTAAAGAAATATTTCTTGATAGCCAATTTAAATCTCTCCTGGCACAACTTTAGGCCATTTCCTCTTGTTCTATAATTTATTACTTGAGAGAAGACACCAACCCACTGTCCTGGTTTGAGCCAGGATGAAGCAAATTTTCTTTTTTCTTCCCTTCAATGAACCCTTTCAAGCAGCACACTTGCTGAAAGTAGCAGCAAGTTTTCTAGCTAGTGGACTGGTAACGCTCAAATGTTTACAGTTACTACCGAGAGACCAGGGCCACTTTGCTTTGCTTGTTGAATCTGCTGCTTCAGACACTAAAGCAGCAAAAGAGTTGTATGCACAACCCTCCAGTAGGGAGGCGTAGACCAGGCAGATGGCAAAATTGGCCAAACAGATTATACTATTCCATATGTGTGTCACTCTTGGTATAAATTCAGGGATCACAGAAGTGAAGTTCCTTTTCACAGAATCACAGAATCTTAGGGGTTGGAAGGGACCTCAAAAGATCATCCAGTCCAACCCCTCTGCCAGAGCAGGGTCACCTAGAGCACATCACACAGGAACACTTTCTTCTTCTGTCCATGGCCAGCATCCAGGGAGGACACCATCTATCCATCTCCTTTGATTCCTAGGCCCATGCCTTCCTGATCCCTTGTATCTCTACCCTCAGCTCCTGCCTGCTTTGCTGCTATCTCTGGAAGCAGTGCAGGACTTTTTTGGGACTGCCTCACAGATTGGGGGAGTACACTGAGAGTTGCCAGGGGTGGGGGTAGGCAACAGGGTGTTTTGCACATTTCTGCACATATTTGTATCTATTTGTACATATTTTCTTTTATCACTTGTATTTTGTTAAAGTGGTTTAGTTTAGCTTTCAGTGCAGAAGCCTCTCTCCTTATTCTCTCCCTCCTTTCCCTATCTTCATGGACCAGGAGTGGATAGAAAGCATTTAATTGCCCATCCTGTGTTAAACCATGACACCCCCACCTGGTTACAACCTCCTTTCAGGCAGTTGTGGAGAGTGATAAGGTCTCCACTCAGCCTCCTTTTCTTCAGACTAAACAAACCCAGTTCACTCAGACATTCCTCATAAGACTTTCTCCAAACCTTTCACCAGCTTCATTACCCTCTCTGGACTCACTCCAGCACCTCAATGTCTTTCTTGTAGTGAGGGGCCCATCACTCAACACAGTACTTGAGGTGCAGCCTCACCAGCACTGAGTACAGGGAGACAATCACTCCCCTAGTCCTGCTGGCCACCCTATTTCTGAGACAAGCCAGGGTGCATTCCCTTTGTTTT